CAGCCGCACTGACACGCCCCGACAGTCCGTAATGATGAGGACTGTACATCGGCTGGCCACCGCAAGTCATTGTATAGGCCACATCGCATTCAATAAGCCACTACGATTCTGAATGGAAGTAGAATGCGTGCCGCATCCCACAAAGGGATTGATCAACGGCGAAGACTTTATCCTTTCTTTTACCCACGTCCAGCTATCGTGGAATGTTGTTTTACATTGAAATTCTTTCTTTTATTTCTTACTTGCTTCATACTGTTCTCTTGTTTTTTTTACTGATACATCAACTGTACAAAGAGAACAGTCTGACATGCTCTTCAGAAGCGCATAGTGATTTCATGCCCCATCTTTCAGGCGCCTGATGACGGCCTGCAAGTACGCCTTGCCGCAAATGTTCATTCTCGTCAAGTGAATCCTGAACTGGACGAAAAACATTGGATTGCTTATGAAGCTTCTAGAATTGCTGGGAAAAGTTGTAAGTTGGCCTTTTAAAACATCTTATGAAAACCCTACGGCTGATACGTCTTACTGGATTGGCCGAGGGTGCCCGCGTCAAGTGTGAATGCTATGTCCGTATTGAACATTGAGTAACCCTTGGTATAGGTTGAGCGAAATTACGTCTAGGAGTTGTAATAGCCTACGAAATGCCAGGCGGAGGTGGCAAGTGATGACATGCACAGGTTTGGAGCGGGGGAGGGGGAGGTCAAATTCCGTGCAATGGCTATACCAGACTCGTGTGGGAGGTTGAAAACACTGGCGTGTGCATCAACAGGCTAGGAAATCACTGTATGAGCCAGATCACATCAAAAGCCTTTACGATTCTGAATGGAAGTAGAATGCGTCTTGAAAAAAGATCGATGACACAAAATGTTTAACCCTTCTGGGTTTTGAAATTTCCATTAGTCCCCTCCGACTACAACAGCACTCATTCTGCATTGTGAACGATGCATTGTGAACACGATTTTAGGCATCAACCTTGCTCGTGAAGACCTCATGTTAAAGTGTACATTTGCTCAAGAGTGGCCAGCTGTGAGAGCGTTTCTGGAGTCTTGTCCAAAGCCTGCTTGTCTCGGTATGTGATTCTAATCCAAGAAGTGCAGTAGTAATTCTAACTGCTGTCATTGGTTTTAGTGGCCCACAACGGTTTATCGTTCGACTATCGTGTATTATATGGTGAACTGGCACGTTGCGGTTTTATTGATAAGGATATGGGAATCCCAGAAGGAGTGAGTGGGCTCGAGTGAGAACTGCGAGTTTCTGTAGCACAGTGATATTTGAAGGTTGTCTTCGTTGATTCATATCTGGCTATTCGAGAAATCGAGGAAAGGCATCGAAATGAGCTGCTGCATGCGACGAGAATGGTTGACTGGAAAATGCGTGAGTTTTCTTCCAAAGGCTCTGCACAGTATAGATCTAATCAAGACAGCATACTTGTTAGGTTTTCCGTTGTAATCATCACTAAAACATTCACCTCAATTTCCGTCTACCATAACGATTCGGTAAATAGGCATAATGCGATCATCGTCCGACGCGCAGCAAGACTCAAACTAAAGGAGGTAATAATGAGGCTGTAGGTATCTCTTTACAGACACAGTCGCATTCAGTTATCACTCACGCATTCTAAACTGGAACAAAATACGTACCGGACCACAAAGGGATTGATCACAGGCAAAGATTCTACTTTTTTTATTTCGCAATTAGTTTAAAGATAGGAAAGAGTCAAAGGTCCAGTGGAAGTTATGTTGCTTGATTGGTAACGCAGACTCCGCCGTATGATGGCACGCCACCAGCGACGCGCTAGTCAGCTTGCATAAGCGACCTGTGATATACAAACTGTGAACGCGTAGCGGGGACGTTCAAAAATAAGGGCTTTTAGTGTATATCGTAATGAAGGTGTCAATAACTCCGTTAAAATAACGGTTTTCATCTGGATTTTGGTGACCTAAATGGTCTTCTGGCGCTGGCGCCAGTCGGCGCGGCTCAAACAGTTTCGAGCGTAGTGGATGTCAGAGGTCAAACTAACTACCCTCTGGAAAGTCTTTAAGTTCAGTGATTAATAGGTTTTTACGTCCGGCCGCCTGGCAGTTCGTCGGCGTATAAGGCATTTCCAGCCAATGTGTTGTATTTCGTGTTTCAGGAGATACGAATTATCCCCTCAGGCTGACAAAATTTCAGTCGAAAATGCTGACCCCGCTAGACTAAAAGTCCGATCAAGATCGTCCTGTTCGGAAAAATTGGGGTACGTATAGGTGAAATAGTGCCAAGTTTTCCTGTTCAATATAAGAAAGTCCTGAGAATCCTAAACTTCCATGTTTTTCTCTCACACCGGTGCGCACTTGCTCGCTTCGAGCTTGTCATATCCCGCTGTAGGTCCCGTGAAGGTCATGCACATTTTTGTTCACAGGTGTTACTTTGATCATTCAGTACTATCGTGACTTTACTCGCGGAAACGCAGGCTTTCTTTCATGGCCCTCCTTGTGTCCTGCACCAAAAAGTATTGAAATTGTTCCTTTTATACGATGGCAGTTTCAGACACCTGCTCTACGTGTAGGGTTTTGCGGATGAAAGTTCGAGTAGTAAAAGTATATGATATTTTTCGAAACTCTGGATTAAACGGTGCTGCATGTTGCCCTTCAGGTTTCGAATTCCCCAGGTTTGTTCCCAGACATTCTTCCTGTCTCTTGAATGGTTCAAAATCTCATTTTACTTGGTATAGCCGTCGGATTCCCTGCAAAGAAAGGGGGTTGGAGGGCGTGGATTGGATCGCGCAGCTAGAACAGATCGTTCCGCCACCGTTGCGGACACAGGATGCATGAATAATGGGAAGACTGCTTTGGCAACGTTAAAGACAGTTGGCACGATGATTTTGTGCTCTGCTAAAATGCTAGAAGCTGCATCATAGTGGGGGAACTGCCGAAAAACGGAAGTAAATTGTCAAAAATACCTTCCGAAGACGAACTTCCGCTTTCAAGATTCGTTAAGAAATAAATTTGAAGAGTTTCCTGTTGGCATCTTCAAATCACACACTATCCTGAAGATACGGGTGTAATGTCTACTCATACATGTCCATTGCAGCCAATTACAGCGCTCACTCTCAATTCCCTTCTCTATATATTTTTACTATGAAAAGACGTTTGGGTCGGTATGTTGTGGCTTGATAGGGCCCTTATAAGGGCACCTCCCTTGGAAAAGGCAGCGCCTACTTATGGTCGTGGAATCGTCCTGCCAGGCATATTAATCCTACCCGTCTTAGGGGATTTATCGTGCCAACTGCCTTTAATCCACGCCCTGTCACACGCCGTATCTTTTGCAGGAATCGTGACTGTACCTCATTTTTTACAGTTTCTGAGCAAGAGTGTTTGAGTCGAGTTCCAGCCTGTGAGGATATTCCGTCAGCAATTGAGGAGGACGCTAATCGGATTGCGCACGTAGATCTAAAAAGTAACAACTGCCTCCCCATTTCATCATGATTCTCCTCCGTGGTGTTTATCCGGTTGGTTTATGATTATTGTGATAGGTATGGAGACACATTTGGCACAACAACAGTGTCCCGTTGATCCCTTGACTCCCACTCGTCCGCCGCCACTGCGAGGAACTCATAGTGAACCACCGAAGCTGTGAGTAAAGTTATAGAAGCTAGTCAGGGCTTGCTGAACAGCAAAACTTGGGTTTCAGCTCCGCTCGTCGTCGTCTTTTTGAGAGCGAAGTGTCTGGAATCGATCATCCCCTTCTATTTTTGAATACCGATGAATGGTCTCCAGCGAAGCGTCGTCGTATTCGCCCTGAATATTTCAGGTTGGAAACTCCATGTTTTCCACTGGCGCTCAGTTTTTGAGTGATTTGTAGTTTGTGTGGTGTTGTAAAATGAGGATCTGAAAGTATAATGCCTGCAGATGTTTAGAAGTTTTGATATTTCAGGCGTATAGATGTCGGTCGTTGGGAGTTCAATAGCACTGTGGCTCAAATGAACACTAAGAACAAACTAACCACGATTTATGAGACGGTAAATATTTCTGGCACCAAATTTTGAGTCTTTTCCACCCTTTGCGAGAGGGAGGCAGGGAAGCGGGAGATCTAAAGACGGTCTGCTCCTGGACACGACATCCGTTAAAAGACGCCGTTATGGTTCACTATTTCTACCCCGCAACCCGAAATCCCAGATAGGCTGTTGTGTGGACCCCGAAGCTATAAGAATTGGGGTAAATGGGAAGTGGGCGCAGTTTGCCGACGGGGGGGGGGGCATTTTGCACTTTCGTTGCTTCACTAGTTCTGGTTTACAAGTCTCACTCTGGTGAAACCTGTGAACTCTTGTGAAGCTGGAGCAAGCTCGTCAAGCCATCATGGTAAAACCTGTCAACTCGAGAAGAGGCTGTCTAGATGGGTCGACACGTGTGGAAAGTCGTTAAAGTGCAAAATGCTCCCCGTCGAAATACAGCGCCCAGCGATGCCCCTAGCATGAATGCCCCCCCCCTTCCTACGCTAAACAGCGCCTGGGAAGTGAGTGGAAAGTCCGCAGTGTCTGTTCACACCCTCATTTTTGCCCTTTCGCTCACACTTGTGGTGCATTCGCCGAGGACAGCGGCAATCATGAACGACGTTCTTATGAAGGTCTTCTCTTTATGCAGTTATAGTCATGAAATAGTGCTGGATTCTTTTATGAAGCCAGTTTTTTTCCATTTCGTCGCTGCGGCGATTGCATACTTTAAAGCCGTAGATGAAAAAAATGGAGCAAAACTGGTGGTCTTCACTACCGCGTGGGGACTTTCACGAAGTGCCTGCCCTAACAAACCAACTCGGGTGTAGGTCACATCTCTCAGCATTCTTTACCGAACATATTTGTTTCAACTAAAATTGCAGGTGTTGAAGAAACACTTCACGGCACATTACGCTCAGGATGACACTGAAGCTCTGATGCAGGTGAGTAATCGATGGTATCTGATATGGTTCAAGCGCTCTCGAAGTCATTTTTGCAAATAAGACCTGGTGACATGAGATGCCGCTGAATTTGACCAAGTTCATGTAACAGCAAGTGAAATGATCCTTACACGCCTCTCATACAAGAGTCGTTGTCTTGGCACCGACAGAAGTAGCGTTTGCCAAGTACCCACTGCATTACATAAGAGGCTAGTCGTGAAATGTGTATATATAAGCTTACGATTGTGTGCCGCTTTAGGTATGTCTTGCGTATGGGAAGGAGTTCCTGGACTATGCTGACAATAAAGCTGCAGATTTCCCATTTTGAATGGATACGAGTTCTTGTAAGTGATCCCATCTACATCAACAACACTGTTTCTTGCAGCATACAGATGTGAATGTCCTTTGATAAAGACAGCGCCCGCAATCACCATTCGCAGGTTGTAGAACTTGGAACAATTAGATTCATATCGTAAGTACAATACTAACGAAGAAAAAATTAAAAGAAAACGTTTTTGAAAATGTTCTAAAAGAACACCTTATCATGGGTGCCGCGGATTGAAATGGACGAAGTCAATTAAACTTTGGGCGAGATCTATGTATCTAATCGCCACTTGCTGCGGCTCATTTTCCAAGGGCATATTCGCTAAGATTAGCAATTGTCACTGCTAACGAATCTTGGTAATCAAAAAATGATCGAGGTGAACTTGTTGACTCCGCCCTCATAGTCGGAGTCAGCTTATCGTTGCTGAACTGTCGTGCTTTTATCAAGCGCTTTCGAGCTGCGAAAAAGGGCCACCCATCATGACCGCAAGCTCCGCCATCTTGTACCCTGTAGGATTTCTGCACCTTGGTTGATCGCGGACGCTGTCTTTAAGTTTGCCTTTTCAATTACCAGTATTTATGAGCCACTCGCAATTACAGGCCTCTACTTTTAGTGTCTTGACGAAGGAGTCAAAACATAACGTCACTCTATGATACCTTTTGTCGAACTTTAACGACGAATCTCAGACAGAGATCTCACGTGCATTTTCACTGTATCTTAATCTATCTGTAATGTAATGTAACTGAATTTCTACATTCTGCAGACCATTCTTAAGACCTTCCGGCCATTCTTGATCACTAATTGCCTCCCCGTTTGTTTTGGATCACATAATTATACAGCCATTGTCTTGTTTCAACATCAGGGCGTGGTTTTTATAAGTAAGCAAAAACATAGTAGCAGTCTAACAAGCGAAAATAATCCGTCGGATTTGATTTACTTTTCACTTACAGTTTTCATAGGTCTTTATAACCCGATTTATTTGATGGGGCGTAGCTCCTTACCGACTGACCTCACTTTTTGTAGTTCGTACTTACATCTTCCAAAGATGTACAAAACCACTAATGATGATCTTGGCTAATGGCATAATCCGGTTCCTTTTTGTCGATTTTTCACTTTCGTGTAGCTTTCTCTTATACACTCAATTTTCCTGACAACGATTTCACTACAATGCAGCTTTTCCTGAGATTTACTCCCAACAATTAACAGATGGCACGTTTCTTATATTCACTATGTTGAAAGTACTATGCAATTAATAAAAAGGGAAGTCTTTGAGTTGCGCTATGTACTCGTTTTCCAGCCGATATCGTTAAAGGCCAACAAAGCACCGATAATATTTCTAGCATGAACGAATGAACAAGCACAGCGTCAAAACTCCTACCCTGACAAAGCTTTACTTGATGACCTTTTCCAACAAAAAATTCTCTACGCACCCGAGGGTATAAGCAGGTGGCACGATAAATCTTGATACAAGCGGTGTAGATTTGTACAACTGGCTTACAAGATTCCGCTTGACCTCCGGGACAGGCGCCTGCGTGGGAGCCTTTTCCAAGGAGGTCCTCTCATAACGCCATTGGAGCAACAACTTTACGTCCCAAACGCCTTCCTTGCCCGCCCGCCCACAAACGGACGACCGTTTCTGACGCTCGTATTCATTCATTTGCTGAGCAAATTATAAAGCAAAGGGATTGGTATGAAGCGGCGGTGATGCTGCATGCATACGGTACACATATGCATCCGTACCTTCGGTAGCGGTGATTGTAAGATCGCCGTACGGGGAACTCGTCCGAAATCGATTTACAAGTCACTGAGAACAGAGGCTTTTTCTTCGCCGGATTTTGACCGTTCCACTCTGTTCTTTCGCCATTTCCACACTATACAGCGCCCTACTAGCATTTTAGGCGCGAAGTAGCGAAACCATCGTGCCAACGCCTTTAGCGTACCGACCGCGCGCCTAACAACCGACACGCCACGCAAATGGCTGCCCACCGATCACCAACTAGTACACCAATCCGGACACTACTGTTTCAACCGCAATAGGCGGGCTGACAGGCGCTTTTCCTCTTCGGGGTTCTTTGAAGCGATTATTCCTGCGGGTAGCGAAAATAAATTTTTCCTTTGCAGGGTGAAAGGGTTTCTTGCAAGCAGAACCAGGGCACATTGCTGTTGGAGAATCCCTAACAGGGGGAGGGGGGTCGTATTTGGGCTGAGGAGAATTTATTTCGATAGTTGTTTTCTAGCTTCACGGACGGTGTAAAAGGGGAGGGGGGGTGGGCGTTTCCCGCTACTTGCTTATCGTTGGGAGGGAGGGGGGGGGCTCTTATTTACTTTCTGGCCTTTCTAGGAGTAATGGTTGAATATTCGTTTTTCTGTTTCATGCGTACTATATACCCCCCCCCCCCACTACTATATACCCGCTCGGCAGCAAAATTTGTGGGAAAAAAGGGAGGTTCTGGAAAAAGTGGCAGGAAGTTGGGGAAAATCCGAGAATTGGTAGGAGGGGGGGTCGTATTGTCTCGCGGCTTTTCCTGTTTCACATGTGCTGTTTACCCCCCCCCCTCTCCTGCCGGCCCGAATCGATGAGGAGAGACAGAGGGGGAAGGGGAGGGGGAATTGTACCACCCCCCCCCCCCAAAGAAAAGGGGGCGGGGTCGTACGGACTCGACTAAAACTCCCAACCAATGATATGCCCTGAGCAGAGCCAGTTTTGAATTTCAGACTTGTTTTAATTTTGCGTTTTGTACTTAAATCCCTAATTCTTCGACAGCCGCTTCGTGAAAGTGTCAATAGTATGTCCCTGCTTCTGTTGAGGGCTCTGTTGATACTGGTCTACTACTGGAAAGGTTCTTACTGCTTGAAATAATGTGTTTCCATAGATCCTGGGCAATCGCCGTAATTTTTTACATTGATATTTGACCAGTGATTGATCTCAGGCGTAGACTTGCAGACTTTCTGATTGGAGCGGCTACTGAGGGACTTATTTTTGCGTTTTAGGCCGTACGTCCCGTTTTTGTCTTACTGTCGTACTACAGAGTGCCTCTACTGCTGCAGAGAACCAAATTATCCTGCGTTCAGGGACAAACTGTACCCTCACCTCTGCATGTTCCTTGTCATGAACGAGGCGAATGGGTACAGCAGCTGAAGTATCTTGCCACTTTCTCTGCTCATAAAGTGCATGGAAACCCTGATGGAGGGTCATGATACCCGCGTGCTTTTCCCCGGCCGACCCTCGCTGCCGTACTACAGAGTGCTTCTACTCCCGTTGCGCATAGCCAAGCGCTCTGCTTGTCTGTGCCTACTTATTTCTGGAAGTCCCTAATGCACATGCTGAATCGCAGCCGGTCGCGAAACTAATATGCGAATCTGGAGATCCGAACCTTCTTTCTAGGTTTGTAAACTACTTACTTCACTCTTTCACGTGATTTCAACGCCCTGTTGTGGGATCAGATTGGCATGATACTCTTCATTGTGGACGTGAGCACTTCTGCCAGGAACGACGGCAACTTTCGAGTGATCGTACATCATGCCTTTAATGGAGGTTCTTCCATGATTCTTTGCTTGTTGTCTGTGAAATTTGCAACTGTGTGATGCAAGTACAGCCAATAGAAAATGCTCATTTAATGCAAGATTACACTAGAAGTTAGTAGTAAGACTCTTTTTCGAGAGTGTACGTTTGACGATTCTTTTTACATTTGTATCTGTAGCGACCTTCTCTCTTACTGCGACCTGCTTCGAGCTGAAAAACACCGTTTAGGGATGAGTCATGTAGAAGCATCTGTGCAAAACAAAACCGACACAAGAAAGCTGACAACGAGAAAGTATGGCGAGGTGAAGGCAAAGGAATGAGGCAAGGAAAGGGCGCAGGAAAAAGAGTGGTGTGTGAGAGGGGACAGGAATCGTGAAGTGGACAGGAGGGAGAACTTGTGGTGGTTCAGTGGAATTATATATGCCCTTGAGTAAGCAGCGAGAATTACAATAATAATTGATGTACCTATATTATGTATATGAGATGAACCTACGTCTTGATTGCGACGGTAGTTGTGCGAGGAAGGGCGAGTAAATGGACGTCTTACTCGGGACGTTGAACGGGAGGTAGCAAGCAGTTAGTGTATTCTAGGGAATATAGACTGAGTGCGGACCATCATATCATGGGTCCGCCTCATGGCAGTACTTAAGGACCCACGCTGAGAGAGGTTCTAGCCCCAGACGTGGAGAGAGGACGTAGAGAGTGAGATCGTCGCCACAGACGACGATAGAACTGAATTATCGCCGTGAGTCCGGATTGATGTGCAAGTTCATTTCTGGGACATTGTTTTAGTTTTCCTAGTTTTTTTTTTGAGATTCTGATGTTAATCTCTGCCTGACACAAATATTCTTTGATTAATGACTCGGAGCAAGAAGAACGATGAGTGACATATGACGTTCACCAGCGTTTCTCCAGCGTTTTCCCAGCGCTTGCAGCGACGGGGCTAGAGAGGGGCTAGAGAGTATTGAATGTAGGAGAGTACAAAATACTCTCCTCCCTTCAATACTCTCTAGCCCCTCTCTAGCCCCGTCGCTGCAAGCGCTGGGAAAACACCGGAGAAACGCTGGTGAAGCTAGATCAATAGCTATGCTTCCCGTGCCCTCGCTACGCCAGCGTGCGCTAGCGTCCAGCGTACGCTGGTGACGCTGGGAACGCTAGATCGATATCTATCCTTTCCCCGACACTGCCGCTGGCGTACGCTGGAAGCGCTGCGCTACGCTGCCGCAAAGTATAAACGCAGCCTAAGCAGTGCATATCAGAAAACTGTGTTCCTTGCCCACAAGGGAAAACTGGTGAGTGTGCGCAGTTGGGAGTAATAAATGAGATCCAGTGTCAGGCATGTGACTCTACATATACAGGGGGGGGGGGCAAAAAAAAGTCACTTTGCTTCATTGACTTTCGAGGCGCTATAAGTTACACTTTATAAATTCTGATCGGACATTTCTACCACCATATTAAAGAGCATATTAAATACTATTAT